ACGATTGCGTAAATGTATTTGGTAAAATGTTTGATCGATGTCTGTAGGCGTCTTATCTTGGCGCAGGGTAATTAGTCGTTGATAGCATTTTCACTGATCTTTACACAATAACAGATAAATACATGTATATTTTATAAACGAGGTATTTTGTTTTGAGTTGAAACTACAGGAACATACACCAAAGTCTGTCGGTGAAAGAACCTTATTTATGTGGCAAGACTATACGGCATTTCCGAAAAAATCAGTCAAAGAAACAGCTAGGAGATTGTGACAGTCATGAAGCATGTGACCCCGGACATCACGTGCAGCTGGGTGGTCAGTCAGATTTACCATTGTCACTCACATTAGGTTCTTTTCTTGGAACCAAACACTCAAATACGCTTTATTTCTCACATTTAAGGAATGATCAGCATTGATTGTCCGTCCTTTGCAATCCGCTGGACGTTCATGTGCCATAGGCATGTTGCAGGTGGACATTGTTGCCCCATAGCTGCCTGTTTTTTTATCTATCATTTATCTATCCAAAAAATACAGAACGTCCATGATCGCCGCCGCTCTGAAAGCCCAAAGTCAGCAACTCCCACCCAGGACAAAATAGTCAGAACGATAGCATTAAGAAATCGATTGCAGACGAATGTTTTTTCCCTGAGGATCATTTTCCCCGAACTTTTGGACTTCCCCCCAAAACCTGGATACGCCTCTGCTCAGGCGGCGCGCATACGTATATGCACTGGTGCCATGCAATCCCACAACTTACTACACGTCATTGGAATCAGAGGCGTCATTGGCCATGGGAACGATAGCACTGAGATATCGACGATGGGCTAATGTCAGGGTTCTCTTTCGAATCAAGGTTAATTATCGACCTTCATGACCGAAGGAATCGAGTTTGGACACGTGCTAATGATCGTTTTACGAATGTTAACGTCGTGCAGCATGGCTATTTGAGTTCTGGAATGGGTGGTTTCACAATGAGTGACTAACTGTCCATCTTGTCCCTTGCACCACACGTGGGGATATCGGCACAACGTGCAGGGCAACGGTTGATCTTTCAAGATTGTGACACATATATTTTTAATCCATATGACTGAATTTTCATTGAGGCAATATTCCCAACTGGAAGGTATACAGTAAAGCAATCGGTGGTTGTGTTAAAAGGTTCCACTAATATTGTAGGTACTGTTGAGAGCTTAAAATGTCAATATACTGGTTACTTGCACAGAACAGACCCATATCATACCAATGTTTGATAATAACCCTTCTGTCTTTAAGGAGGGGCGGTGGGGTAGCCTGGTGGTAAAGCGTTCGCTCACTCACTCACTCACTGTCTTTAAGGTCGTAGTTATGCCAAAAGGTTGGAACATAATATCATTGATTGTGAAGTAATTTCTCCAACAGCAAGATATCGATGTCATGCCATGGTAAGTACTTGGGCCTGACCTTTGATCCATTGACCATGTCTGGGACGTCATTGACAGACGTGAATGTCAAACTAAACATCCTGTCATGACTCTCACTAACCTCGGTGCTGCTCACACGAATAAATTGGACAACCTGAGACAAGATGACATTGGTAGATTCGTCTGACGCATCATTCGTGCATGTCTGGTCAACAGAGACGGTTAATCGCTTTTGGCGACGATGGCTGCAAAGTGCAAATTTCTCCTTTGACCCCGACCTCTTTAACGACAACTGCAAGTGCGTCACGACTACATCCAACCAAACATTTGAACCACTGGATCTGACATGTAACATCACATGGATAGTTCACAGAGGACACGTCTCTTCAAAGTATTAGAGTAGTTTGAAAATATTTACAAATAATATATACATTCATAGATGTATGTATGTCCTACACAAATATTTGAATACTTGACGATATGAACCGATATCAGAGAAAGTAATGTATTCGGTATTTCATTCGTATGGACGTTTTCACTCTGCTCAACAAAAGAAACTATTTACTTTGTCATTTGTTATTGAGTCTATATCAGTGAAGTGCGTGTCGATCTTCATGTATATGTTTCACCTCAGACTAAGTTACGGGTGGGAAGCTATGATAAGGTCATGATAAATTTGAATGTTTATAGTACAATGTCAAGTGCTTTTGCAGTTTGTCTATTGAGGGAGGTTCATGAATAAATGGTATAATGACCCGCGGAGGGTCATCCTAATTATGAAAAGCATTAAAGAGTAGGGTAAGTGTTTTCTCTGCATCTTTCTGTGCACTAGTCCATCGCAAAACCTCGCTGCTTTATGATATGTTTTAAAAAAGGGAGGTAGGCCTAACTACCCAATTACTGATTCGCCAGGAAGGATCCCGTTCTGGAAAGAAACCCCCTTTTAAGTTCAACGCACTACAACAACATTCGGCACTAGCAAGATGAAATGAAATGATGCTATTCAGACATTTTCCTCATCTGTCCAATCAGTCTGTACAATCTAATCCAGTCTCGGACCATATAAATAACCCGCTAGCATACATAAACTTACCTGGTGTTTTAGGTATGCGAATGAGGTGGGATGTTTCTGACATGACACCACGGCCTGTGCTTGTTAGACCAGTATTCACAATCACGCGTGCTACTATTGTGGGATTAGTGATGCTCATGCATATGTATGAAGATCGAGATACATGAAACGGTATTATAACTGTCAACAACGTAGGTATCATGATTTTACGAACACCTGTGCGTCGTACGAAACGTATACCTTGTCATTCAAATTGAATCGTAATTGGGCGTAAAAGCAGTAATTAGTTGAATATCTTATTGGACTGATTATATTAATGCAGACCTTTCAATGTGATTCGTCGACACTGTCCAACTTATCATTGGTGTGTGAATTACGGTCAGATAGTGATAATACTAGGTGTTCCGGCGCGAAAAGGTGAGTGTTTCCTGTCCCACCTGTGGCCCCCGTCACAATCACATACGAAGGCAAATCAATTATACTGTAAATAGCTGGTGACGGGTAAATAGCTGGTGAAAAACAAGGGTCAAACATCAGCTTACTTCCATTGTATCAAACAGTACAAAAGATAGATTGAGTATATCGTTCGATGCTTTTGCAATTGAGGTCTACACAGTTTCCCAGAAATTATTGAGATAAATCTTTGTTTCCTAATACCAATAACAGAATTCTAAAATAGATGTTACATTTAATTACGTAGTAAGGTACTCATTATTGGAGACAACTCTTGTAGGCTTAAGAATGAACCTTACTACATCAAGAGTTATCTCCCCTGCTGTAGCAGACGACGTCTTTAATTTTGTTTGTATGGCAGCCTCGACAGAAGAAGAGAAAGGAATGCTGCTTCTCGATGATTTTGAAAGGTGTGTGACTAATGCAAAAGCTGGAGGACACGACATTCCTCTGTCTACAGAACACAGAACTTTGAAGAATATTCAGTCAGGAGTTGGGACTGAGCACAAGACATGGGCAAGGAGGCCAAGGAAGTTCAGTACTACGGATTGCCGGCGACTTAGTTAGATTGTGGGTAGGGAAAATTGAAAGGCGTTGAGAATATCAGAAATGAGATGACTAATAGAAGAGGTCCTCAGGTATATAATGAAACCCTTAGACAAGAATTACAAAGACTTAATTGGGTGAAAAAGCGCGGAATTCCCTCACCATTGCTGAAAGATGCACAAAATGAGAGACGTTTAAACTGGTGTAGGGCTTACGAAGACCAAAATTGGGATAATGTTCTCTTTTCTGATGAAAGTTGTGTCTGGCTTTTCCCGAACTGTGTAAAAGAGTGTACAAAATATACCGTGAAACCTATCTACCAACGCCGAAACCATATACACGTAGCCCAAAATTTCACATGTGGGGTGGGATATCATCCCGTGGAGTGATGCCGTTGAGTATTTTCACTAGAATTTTGAGGTAGGACCGATACGTTGACATCTTCAATGATCACCTCCTTCCAATGGCCCGAACACTGAATGAAGATAATTGGATTTTCCAGCATGATAACGACCCAAACACACTGCGGGTTACACAAAACAGCGGTTGTGGGACGAAAATGTTCAAGTTTTAGACAGGCCCAGCTACAGCCCAGATCTTATCCCTATTGAGAATGTGTTGGGACTAATGAAGGACAAAATAAACCAAAAAGGACTTAGAAATATTGAAGATATGAAGAAAGAAGTGGTCGAATTTTGGGATACGCTGTCACATGATTTCCTACAAACTTTGATCGGTAGTGTACTTATAGGCGTATTCTGTCCTGTAACTATTGCAGGGCAAGGACGTCTCACAAGTACTGAAAAGACACTTCGACTGTAAGAATCATATCTCAACATATTCATTTAAGTAAAACTTCTATAGTTTATATACACGTATTAGATATTTGCCGAACACCTTTCTCGATAATTTCTGGGAATACTAGATTTAATGAGGGACGGGGCAGATGCCCATGAATGAATGTTTTCTAACCGATTTAAACAATGGATTGAATAAGAAATAGTCATATCCTAAGACGGCAGTTTATTTTGGGAAAACATGTTCTGTAAAATTGTTTATGCAGTCACGTTTCAGTTTCACTGAACGGACAGTACTCTTGGCGCCGCTCTGACAACTCTGTGTAGCATCTAGCCCATATACATCCATGGAGTATGGGCTGCAGATACTCGAGCTGGTTGCCTAGCAACGACCTGAGCAGGTTCACTTCATTCCATATACTAGTATGTGAAGATACGTTTTTGTTCTCATAGAATAGGAACCAGCTGGTGTAACTTTTAAGGGCGGAACAGACGGTTCATGTGAAAACGGAAATGATGAGGTATCAGTGATTATTGTAACACGTTATGTTTTATCCTCAGATCGTATGCTGCACACTGCCATTAGAACCCCGAAATCATCGCTTTAGAAAGTAGCACCCTAGCGAAACATTTACACCTTGCTATTTGATGACTACATCGACTCGTTTGAAGGAGCTTGAAATGAGAATTTGTACGACACATTATTACTGATAATAATTAAGATACCCTTACCGAATGATGCTTGAAGTATCTGGTACATGGCTGACTGCCCGATGTGAGGAACGATCTGCTGATATACGTGTAGGGCGATTTTCCCCTTTTCAGTCATCCGAGGACAATAACACCATGATCCACACATTCACGCTTGACCTAGGTCAATAAGTCCAGGCAATATTATACCGTGGACGTATTGATCTCGTCTAAAGGTGAATGACCACCTACATCCGGACGAACAGGTTGGCCTCCATCAGGTGTACAGATGGTCCGTCTGTCGTTCTTTACTCATAATTAAACCCAGCACAAGTACAGCGATGTTGAAGGAATATAAGACTCTATGGTAATGTGGCCCACCTTTAACTTCGTGATTTCCACGTCCCACCGTCCACAATGGCTGGTGTTGAGGCAGACCCAGTGACTGGCTGTTATTGTGTAGTTCACATGTATTTCAAATCACGCACTGGCAATTTCATATGCATATATCAGTTATCTCTACTGCTATCATTTTCAATAACTGTTAAACTATAACTGACACATGGCCATTAACTATATATTATCAACTGTTGCGTATCTTTAGTGTTACTGAACGTAGCACGCGTAGTTCACACTTTTAATACATTTCCCCCATAACATATATACATGTTTATATTGCCCAACGATATACGCATGGTTATATACTGGTACTTACACATGCTTGTATTTCCCATGGGCGTATATTGGTAATAACACGTGATTGTATTTCCCCCGTGTGTGAACGGGTAATAACGAATCATTGTATTTCATATGGGCGTATACTGGTAATAATACATGATTGTATTTCCCCTATGTGTATACTGGTAATAACACATATGATTGTATTTCCCATGGGCGTATACTGGCAATGACACATGATTGTATTTCCCATGGGCATATACTGGTAATAACACATGATTGTATATATATACATACTCGTTTGCCACTTAATATTTTTCAAACCATGCCGATATTGATTTCCTCTCCGATCTAACCCCAGTTGCCTCCCTTGCTAAACGCCACAAGGAAATGAAAGCTTCACTGCAATCCGTTTCTGTATCAACCAGTCACAAACGTTGACATAGGCAACGCGTGTGTGTCGTAGTTGTAAACTATATACATAAAGCCATATGAAGATCTGGTGTTCGCTCCATCATGAAATATGACATTGGTTAAAGATACCTCATTTCTTACAGGAACAGTTCCACTAACGGCCCAGTGTCTGTGAGAATGTCCGATGTGATAGTGGAGTTACTCTGTATGTAGATACAGGTAGGTGATGGATGATTGGAGTCGTCATATAATGCATCTATATGTGTTCTTAATGTTGCATGTTGTACCTCTAAGACACTGTGATGAGAGTTTTTGTTACCACTGGTTATCTATTCCAGTTATCTCCCTTTGCTGATTTTCCCTTATGAGTGTTGATTGCTAATATTGCATAATCATTAATTAATGTGTCCGCTCCATGATAATAAAACCGTACTAAACTGAATTCTAAAAGTATTTCTAAGACAGCCGACCTTTCAAAGCAGAAACATGAAGTAGGTCATGCAGTCAGCTGGCATTTACCCGTGATATGACGACACTCGCCGGCACGGTGTCAGGAGGACCACACGTATGTACTGAGGCACTTGATTCACCCACCTAGCTACCACCTCTCTCCCAACTTAGATACGAACATTAGTCGGAAGAAATATGACATTAGACACTGTTTGGAAAAATCTATGTCTGTTGTGGATTATATTTTCATGTCATATGCCGTAACACACTGCTTTGTAAAATTTAATGATTTTTTTACTGAAGTATGTATGAGTGATTAGTTAGTTAGTATGTGTGTGTGTGTGCGTGAGTGTGTGTGAGGGCGCGCGTATGTGTGTGTGTGTGTGTGAGAGAGAGAGAGCGAGCGAGAGAGAAAGAGAGTATGTTTGTGGATGTGGGCTGGTGGAGTTAAGTCAATATATAGGTGACTAGGCCACCACCGGATGATGTAGGTCAACCGTTGTGTACAGACAAACAAGTCAATTCAAGTAACGTCAGCCAGGGGTCTCCGTGGATATATATGTTTCACCAACATGAAATGCTCTGTCATGTAACATTTACATCTGCCATGGGACAGTAGATTTTAGGAATCGTCATGTGAGTGGGATGACGTTTTTCCTCCCGCAAACTACTTTTCCTAACTACGTGGCTGAATTTTGAAATTTAATTGGTTCACGTGATCTTGATAAAATTCAAGTTGGAGAAGGATTCCATTCTAACCAGCCAACAAGAAAACAGGCAGCGCATGGCTTTGTGAGCAGGAGAATAAACCCCTTATAACCCGCCTCGATGCAAAATGACACAATTTGTTTACAAGTCAATGAATGTTTTTGGCACAAGACGACATAATCACAGCTCAATGAAACAACTGGGATCCCTGAATGATCACATAGTTTTAATGCATCACCAGGTTTCTAGGTTTGTCATCACCAGCAGCATCTCAAACTGGCATCACTACAAGCTAACGTGCCGTCACATTATTGAAAATCTGTTCAATCAAACCTGGATAAACAGTTCGGTTACAACACACACATATTGGCAAAGCAAGGAAAGACAGATATTTCGCAATACAAGAAAGCAAGGATATAAACACATTTATAGCAATGCGAGAACGCAGCCAGGGACACATGTTGCAATACAAGAAAGCAAGGATCAACACATTTATAGCAATGCGAGAACGCAGCCAGGGACACATGTTGCAATACAAGAAAGCAAGGATATAAACACATTATAGCAATGCGAGAACGCAGCCAGGGACACACGTTGCAATACAAGAAAGCAAGGATATAAACACATTTATAGCAATGCGAGAACGCAGCCAGGGACACACGTTGCAATACAAGAAAGCAAGGATATAAACACATTTATAGCAATGCGAGAACTGAGCCAGGGACACACGTTGCAATGCAAGAAAGCAAGGATAAACACATTTATAGCAATGCGAGAACGCAGCCAGGGACACACGTTGCAATACAAGAAAGCAAGGATCTACACATTTATAGCAATGCGAGAACGCAGCCAGGGACACATGTTGCAATACAAGAAAGCAAGGATCTACACATTTGCAGCAATGCGAGAACGCAGCCAGGGACACATGTTGCAATACAAGAAAGCAAGGATCTACACATTTATAGCAATGCGAGAACGCAGCCAGGGACACACGTTGCAATACAAGGAAGCAAGGATATAAACACATTTAAAGCAATGCGAGAACGCAGCCAGGGACACCCGTTGCAATACAAGAAAGCAAGGATCTACACATGTATAGCAATGCGAGAACGCAGCCAGGGACACATGTTGCAATGCGAGAACAGCCAGGACACAACGCAGCCAGGGACACCCGTTGCAATACAAGAAAGCAAGGATCTACAAGAAAGCACATGTTGCAAAGGATCAACACATTTATAGCAATGCGAGAACGCAGCCAGGGACACATGTTGCAATACAAGAAAGCAAGGATCAACACATTTATAGCAATGCGAGAACGCAGCCAGGGACACACGTTGCAATACAAGAAAGCAAGGATCTACACATTTATAGCAATGCGAGAACGCAGCCAGGGACACGTGTTGCAATACAAGAAAGCAAGGATATAAACACATTTACAGCAATGCGAGAACTGAGCCAGGGACACATGTTGCAATACAAGAAAGCAAGGATCTACACATTTATAGCAATGCGAGAACGCAGCCAGGGACACATGTTGCAATACAAGAAAGCAAGGATATAAACACATTTATAGCAATGCGAGAACGCAGCCAGGGACACACGTTGCAATACAAAAAAGCAAGGATCAACACATTTATAGCAATGCGAGAACGCAGCCAGGGACACACGTTGCAATACAAGAAAGCAAGGACAGACATATATGTCGCAATATCAGAAAGCAAGGGCAGGCGCATATGTAGAAAAGCAAGAAAGCAGAAACAGACACATTTAGCAATAGAAGAAAGTAAGGATGGACACATGTAGAAATAAAAGAAGGTAAGGAGGGACAAATGTTGCAATACAAGAAGGTAAGGATGGACACATGTAAAAATACAAGAAAGTAAGAATGGACACATGTAGAAATACAAGAAAGTAAGGATGGACACATTTAGCAATAGAAGAAAGTAAGGATGGACACCTGTAGAAATACAAGAGAGTAAGGATGGACACATGTAGAAATGCAAGAACGTAAGGATGGACACATGTAGAAATGCAAGAACGTAAGGATGGACAAATGTAGTAATACAAGCAAGTAAGGATGGACACGTGTAGTAATCCAATAAAGTAAGGAGGACAAATGTAGTAATACAAGCAAGTAAGGATGGACACGTGTAGTAATCCAATAAAGTAAGGATGAACACATGTAGTAATACAAGAAAGTAAGGATGGACACGTGTAGTAATCTAATAAAGTAAGGATGGACACATGTAGCAATACAAGAACGTAAGGATGGACACGTGTAGTAATCCAATAAAGTAAGGATAAACACATGTAGTAATACAAGAAAGTAAGGATGAACACATGTAGAATTACAAGCAAGTAAGGATGGACACATGTAGTTATGGGACACGTAGTAATACAAGAAAGTAATGATGGACACATGTAGTAATACAAGAAAGTAAGGATGGACACATGTAGTAATACAAGAAAGTAAGAATTGACACATGTAGCAATAAAAGAAAGTAAGAATGGACACATGTAGTAATACAAGAAAGTAAGGATGGACACATGTAGTAATACAAGAAAGTAAGGATTGACACATGTACGTAGTAATACATGAAAGTAAGGATGGACACATGTAGTAATACAAGAAAATAAGGAGGGACACGTAGTAATACAAGAAAGTAAGGATGGACACATGTAGTAATACAAGAAAGTAAGGATGGTCACATGTAGCAATGCGAGAACCACTGACGCACACAAATGTATCGATACAAGAAAGTATAATGAACAAATGTTGCAACACAAAAACGCAAGGCCGGGGATATTTATCACAATACCAGACAGCAAGGACAGAGAATATAAGAACCATTGACGCACACATGTAGCAGTATAAGAAGCAAGGCAAGACACGTTAATGAAAGAAGCGCGCGTGTATGTATAATTATGATTATTACTGACAAGTGATATGGATAAAATAATATTTAATGACTTGATAATTTAATTCCCATACAGGTCTCCGGAAGCGTCCATGATGGTTCGTGTTTGCGTCGTAGGGGCGGGAATAGTTGGATTGTCCACTGCCATTAACATACAGAGATTGATTCCGGCTGTTCAGATCACTATCATAGCCAATAAGTTTGGTAATGATACAACCAGCGCCGGAGCTGGTGGCCTCTTCAGGCCCAACCTTGGTCACATCAAAGGCGTCCCTGTTGATACGTTGAAGTGAGTATAAGCTGTGTCTTATCACTTGGTCCTACTATCAGCTAATCACTCAAGGCAACATTGGGAGCAATGATATTCTGAATTTTGAGTTTTAATGTCCCTTTAGTATAAACAATATAGAGATATATAAAGACTTTTCAATGACCCATTTTAAATGCATACTCGAATATGTCTGAATGACCCTGTCTCACCAAACAGACGGGCTATTGTAACAGCTCTTTCTTTTTTGATTTGCTGCCTCCATGTGTTTGACCTGTAACATATACTCTCAGGGGCAAAAGAAACGATACCATATTATTGAGGCTAATTAATAAAAGATGACAAAAGATAAACAGAAAATCAATGTTGTAGGCAAATAGGCGAGGAGCATGGAAAATCAAATTCATTAATCGAGGTCAATAACTGTTTGAGATAATTGCAAAAACCCACATAATATTCCTGTATTCGATCACTTCAGTAAGATGAGATACGTCAATGTCTGTGACACAGAGACACTCCTGCGAGTCAATAGCGAGTGTGGTCACCACCGGCATCGATGTAGGCTCTAACACGACGTCGAACAGATGAGGTGAGACGTCTGATCAAATGAGGAGGTATCCTGTTTCACTCCTCCCTCAAAGCTTGGATAAGGGTTTGTCTGTTCACTGGGACCACCTGTCTGGCACGAATCTGTCTCTCAAGATGGTCCCACAAATGCTCAATGGTTGAAAGATCCGGAGTGCGTGATGGCCATGGCAGGACAAACAACGTTGTTGGCGTTGAGAAAGCCTTGAACACGTTGAGCTGTGTGACATGGGGCGTTGTCCTGTTGAAATACGGTTCTTGGATTCTGTTGTAGGAAGGGTAGAACAACTGGCCGAAGGACTTGGTCGATATAACGCTGCCCATTCACATTCCCATCGACACGACCAGATCTGTCTTTCTGTCACCACATATCCCTCCCCACACCATAACGCCACCACGGCTCAACCTCCTGCACGCAGCAACGTGCCGTCCGCTCTCCTCTGCGTCGATGCACTCGTGTCCTGCCGTCAGGTCTGTTCAGGAGGTATCTGCTCTCATCAGTAAACAAGATTCTGTCCCATTGTCTGCGCTGCCAACCTTAAACGATACGTGCCCATCTCACACGTCGACGTCGACGTCGATGTAGGCTCGGATACCATGCTGACGAAGTCTCCTGGACACCGTCCTTCGGCTGATACGATGACCCAGCGCAGTCGATGCTGATGATGTCACAGTGAGGAATCGCAGGGTACGCAAGTAACGGTCGTCAGCTGGGGTCGTAACCCGAGGTCTGCCATTCCTTGGCCTGTCCTGTGTCCTGCCTGTCTGTCTGTAACGGGTAATCAGCCTGGTTATTGTAAGTCGGCTACAACCGAAGATCCTGGGGACGTGATTGTGGATAGCGCCAAGCTGGATCATGCCAATTGCCCTTTCTCTCTCTTCTTGCGATAATCTCGGCCTGGTCGCAAATGTAATCGTAAAATGTGGATGTCCATAAACATTTTCACGTGCTTTTATACCGAATGTTTGTCACGTGTGTCATGTGTGCACTTGCACGAAACTATCGTGAATAAGTTCACTTTTCTGGGTTCTTGTTGAATGTTTCTAGCCATAAATACTCAAAGTCCAAACGCAAATTATCATTTTAAAAATCATTTCTTTTGCCCCGGAATGTATAAAGACAACCAATATGGTCATGTTAGGTGAGATATAGCTATGATATCTGTTTTCAACGTTTTAAGATAAAAGACATGTAGGTAGATACATGGATATTGATACTGACATGCCAGACGAGAGCTGCGAGAAATGAACATATATATATTCTTTTAGATTCACCACTATTCCTCATGATATGTTTTGTTTTGTAATTCCGTGTACAGTGAAGTTATTCACCCTCACCTATTTCCTTTGCAATTTATCTTACCAACAAGGAGGCACAGGATGCATATTCAAGGACATCAGAAAAAATCCTGAAAACATTACCCAGACCGGAAGTCAGACCTTGTGTCTAGCTTATGTAATGGACAAAGCACTTATTGTTGGACAAGTAGACTGGATGTCTGTAGTATAGACAACATTTTATTGCATTGACAGACGATGGTCAAAGATCTCTTGGAAACACTTCTCTAGTCTGGCTTTGTCTTCGGAGGCATCATCGTCTGGAAACAACGTCACCAATGGATTCGTGCTGCAGGATACGGAAGAGGTATGTTAATACGTTTGTGCAATATAGTCACTAAAAATGTCATGGAAACCTTTTAAAAAACTATATCAGCGCTTCAGCTTCACTCAGTATCGTTAATGATGTTTTCATTTCCAGCCTCAGTTTTTGAACGAGGTGATCTTCTCGTACCATAAGCTGTCCCGAGATGAACTTCAGCGTTTGAACTCGAATCAGAAGTAAGTATTTTGTCTTCCACAGGTAAACAGTTTCTTGCAATAAATTAAGTTAGACACATTGTTACAATCCGACCAAGGAGCACTGTAACACACATGAAAAGATGAAAATATTTTCATTCAATTTCAGTTATATTTTCAAAGTTAATTATTGCAAATCACTCCCTGATTGTACATGACTCAGTGTATATTTCAGACACGGGTATAACATCACAACTGTCGTGACGGAGCCCAAGAAGTACCTACCATGGCTTATGAAGAAGTGAGTGCAGTCAGACACAAGAATTTAGATAGGAACTGTTGCAGCAGGATATATACCTCTGCACCGAGTCCGTGTTAAAACAGGTCTCCAGCCATTTATGCTTGAAGCAGGCAACGATAATGGATATGAAACTTTGTATATTTATGGTTTGACGAGTGCACCAGATGGCCTGGGGCTTCGCACAGAATACCTGTCACAGTAAATCTGGTCCAGACTCGGTTATTTACAGACCGATGTCCTGCAAACACCAAACAAAGCAAACACAATGGACATCACTGTTATTTAGAAAGACCCCGTTCTTCCAGATTAAGGCAGTAACTGATCAACGACAAACGGGTGTGAACTAAAATCTACTGTAATATTCCCATCCACGTCTTGTTTCCAATCAGAGCAAGATGCAATGAGAATCTGCAATGGGAGTAAGAAGATGGTGTAAATAAGCCCACTAGAATAGGCGGTCTAAACGTTCGGAACTATCCGGTAACCCAAATAGAAAACATATATTCAAAGGCAGTAGTTATTGTGACATATAAAAACAAACAAACGGCGTTAAGCATGCAATGTTAATTGCATGGAAAGACAAATGTTTCAAGGTATGGTAACGATCAAACAGTGCACATGAGTCATAACACCAGGTTCAAAGCAAGTTCACACATCCAGTAGCGAGTGTGTCCACCTTGAGCATTATTGTCGGCCTTGCACCTTCGCCTCACTAAAGCCATTAAACGTCAATGGATGTCCTGGGTAAGATCCTTCGTATCCGAGTTCGTACAGTGTTGTTGGAAGATCCGGATGACATCGTTTACGTCGTAAACGTCTTACATGTCACAGTAGCTTTTGCCTCTGAAAATAGCAGGGAAGATGAAATATATGAATAAGAATAGCAGAAACGTATGTGAAGCATTAAGAAGTAAGATCAATCGTCACCTAAAATATTTTATACAAATTCTTTCTGGCCGCTAACTGACGGCAGCATGATAACGAGGTATTAGAAGACCAAGGTGGACCTCATTATGAAGGCCAATATACAGTACAACCAGAAATTATTGAGAATTTAAAGATTGTAATTTTTAAATGTTTTTCACTCATTACTCACGTATTAAATGTAAATATTAGCAGAACATAACTCCAGATTCAAAGACAGGTGAACAGTTAGTATTTTGTCAAGTCACCATGGGCAGCAATGCAGGCTTCAATGCGGCGGGGCATACTACTGATCAAAGAAGTTAGAAAGTCGTGGTCCATGCTGTCCCAATATCGGACCACCTCTTCTTTCATTTCAGCAATATTTGTCAGATTTATCTTATTGACACTTTCCTTCATAAGTCTCCAAACATTTTCTATTGGATTTAGGTCAGGGCTATAGCTTGGCCAATCTAATAATGTCATATTTGGGGTCCGAAACCAGGCCTGTGAATGCTTTGAACGATGTTTTGGGTCGTCGTCCTGCTGGAAAATCAAAACATTTCCATAGAACACGTGAGCAGATGGAAGTAAATGTCCCTCGAAAATATCTGTGTACCGCTCACTGTTCATATTCCCTTCAAATACACAGAGGGGCGTTGCCCCTAACACAGATATGCCACCCCACACGTTAATTTTCGGACTGTACTTTGGGCGCTGATACAAAGGTTTTTCAGTTTGTTTGGTCCAGAATTTCAGTGTATTAGGAAACAGCCACAAAGAACTTTCATCTGAGAAAATCACATTGTCCCAGTTAAAATGTCTATGCTGTAAGCACCAGTTCAATCTTCGCTCCTTTTGTTCAGGTTTCATGATCGGTTATGGAATTCCTCGACTTTTCTGCCAACCCATTGCATGCAGCTCAGTTCTAATTGTCTCCTTACAGACAGCCACAGTTCCTCTATCAATCATATCAAGCCTTAAGTTTTCTAAACTCCTTCGTTTGTTTTTTAGAAACAAGAATACCAAGCCGCCGACTGTCACCGACTGTCAATTTTCTGGGCCTACCTGCGCCTCCCTGGTGCTCAATGCCATATCCATTTGCACTATTTTTCAAAACACGATAAACAGTGGACAAAGGGATGCCTGTTCTGTTGAAATCACTTTAGCTGATTTGATGTCCTTGTTATAAAACTCTAAAATCAAATTCCTCTTCTCTTAATCATCCATACTGAGGATCACTGAAAATGTCGTCTGCTAGCAAGTAAACAAAGGGGAATAACTCTTCACAAACTAATGAAAAAATATTAACGGAGTTGTCTCTCTTGAATGAAACCAAGCACTTGATAGCTGGTCAAGGTTGTTTATACTAGAAATCCAATTAAACATATTCCTAAAATTCTCAATAATTGCTGAGAAGGGGACCCTTCTGATCCAATTTTATATTGCAATTCCCAGTTGCCTTGGTAAACTCTGCTCTTCAGAAATACCTTCATGATTTTATTATCTGTTGTGTCATGTGGGCTACACCAACCTAGGTAAGAATTTTCAAAACAACAGGCGACTTGTTTTCTCTGTGAAGATGTTCTGCTTACATCAATAATAACTTGTATAAATATACCATAACACTACTAGATTTTACTGTTTCAGTCACATTCATTCTAATGTACTGAGGGACACGAAAATCTCGCTGTGTTTGAAACATGTTCATTTAAAGTTCCTTAACATATCTAGGTGTTGTTATGAGGCCCTAAAACCCCAGCTTTAAAATATTGTTTGGGCATAAGACTGTTCCCAATCTTCGCCTCCCACAATTTCTGATACGTTATATGAACTATGTACTGCTGAGACTAATAGTAATCCACACAGTTTACAGTGGTTAATTTGTATGGACAAAATATTAAATTTGCAGCCTCATTGACGCCAGGTTTATACTTTGGCACACCCCAACTGCGGAGTGAACGTTGAAATGTCATCCTTATCAATCGCGAAAGAGTTCTATAATAAACGGCTCGTAAGATCATTACCATCAACACTTTCATGCCAAAATTCGAAAAACATCTTTGGCCGGAAACAATTTTATACCGTTTCACAAAATTTACCACAAGTATTTTGCAAACCATGAAGCAGTAGCCTTGTACCACCATTTTGATGTCTGTGTCGTTTGTAGAATCAGGTAAACCAGCTTGTGAGTCTTGTACCACAGTGAGAGGTTTTAGAGACTATGAATTGACAGAGTAGATAAATAAGTAAATCGTCCAAAGATCCAGACGGGTGCGTCCAGAAAAAGGTGATGTCCTGTATTTCTGAAGACAAAATACCTGCATTGCTACAGTTCCTTGTGTATGAAGACCTGAGACATGAATTATCTCCAGAAGTTGCACAAGTCGGGAATTTGTAATAATCATGTATAATGATTCAACAATATAGAACAAGTTTTTATGGATAACAACTTCTTTATTTCGTGAGTGCGACGTTTCGATACAGATTCTTGTACCGTTGTCAAGCAAGAGCGATACATGAAGTGTAGGAGCTGCATATATATACTGTATATAACAATGTAACAACATTATAGACAAAGGAAACAACATAATTGCCATGATTGGCTAAGCAGTAAACTGATGATGCCAGTGAGTACACAAAGGATAGTGAATGGAAGCCAGAGATGTAGTTACAATGAGATGTTTATACAATAGATTGGGCTTGGTGGAGGAGTGGATCATAAGCTGATTCAACTATTAGATGTGTCAAAACCTGATTCAATATTCTTCACAGACGTAGGCATAAGTATATCTGTTGCATAAGTAACACCGATTACTTAGTTAAATGTATGATATCCTTATTGACATGCATGTAGCATTTAACGCTGAACAACTCTAACTGGGGGTCATTATAGTAGTTGATACATATAATATCCCTGCTGTTTAGTACAAATCTTCACGCCTGACTGTGTATGAAAGGGTCCATCGTCAAACCGTGCAGGTATCAGGATGGGGTGTATGCCAAAGCAAGAGGTGTATTGTTCGCAGTTACTGATGGCAGTGCAAGACGTATAGCGTGGTTTAGAACCCTTGTATGATGATATTTAGGTATACTGTATGTTATAACGTTAGGAAATCACATTGATGTAGCTGGATCATACTTGCAACTGTCCAGTTCAGAGTACTTTTGTTTCAGATATAAAGAAAACGGCGGGCAGGTGGTATTTAGAACATTGACGTCTTTGGAAGAGGTGAGATATCAGAGAAGATGTGATATATTTATTCCTTCATGTAAATTGTACATATGGACACTATTGTATCTCATTTCTTTGTAAACAGTAGGGGAGTCATGTATAGAAGCAGTTCAGCGTCTTTCTTAACATACACGTGTTGATGTCCATACAGAACTGACTCCGACATGTTCCTAGTACGATACAGTTCCATACAGACTCGGTCATACTGAACTGCTTCAATGTTTCAGTGGTGTGGTATGCAATATATGTGTAGTATTCAACTGCTTCAATGTTTCAGTTGTGTGGCATGCAATATATGTGTAGTATTCAACTGCCTCAATGTTTCAGTTGTGCGGTATGCAATATATGTGTAGTATTCAACTGCTTCAATGTTTCAGTTGTGCGTTATGCAATATATGTGTAGTATTCAACTGCTTCAATGTTTCAGTTGTGCGGTATGCAATATATGTGTAGTATTCAACTGTTTCAATGTTTCAGTTGTGTGGTATGCAATATATGTGTAGTATTCAACTGTTTCAATGTTTCAGTTGTGCGGTATGCAATGTATGTGTAGTATTCAACTGTTTCAATGTTTCAGTTGTGCGGTATGCAATATATGTGTAGTATTCAACTGCTTCAATGTTTCAGTTGCAGTGAAGTATTGCGGTATGCAATATATGTGTAGTATTCAACTGCTTCAATGTTTCAGTTGTGCGGTATGCAATATATGTGTAGTATTCAACTGTTTCAATGTTTCAGTTGTGCGGTATGCAATATATGTGTAGTATTCAACTGCTTCAATGTTTCAGTTGTGCGGCATGTGTGTGAGTATTCAACTGTTTCAATGTTGCAGTTAGTGTGGCGGGCAATATATATGTGTAGTATTCAATTTCAATGTGTAGTATTCAACTGTTTCAATGTTTCAGTTGTGTGGTATGCAATATATGTGTAGTATTCAACTGCTTCAATGTTTCAGTTGTGCGGTATGCAATATATGTGTAGTATTCAACTGTTTCAATGTTTCAGTTGTGCGGTATGCAATATATGTGTAGTATTCAACTGTTTCAATGTTTCAGTTGTGCGGTATGCAATATATGTATTCAACTTTCAATGTTTCAGTTGTGCGGTATGCAATATATGTGTAGTATTCAATTCAACTGCTTCAGCAGCGGTATGCAATGTATGTGCAGTATTCAACTGTTTCAATGTTTGTGCAATGTAATGTGTATTCAACTGTTTCAATATGCAATATATGTGTAGTATTCAACAGTTGTATGCAATATATGTGTAGTATTCAACTGCTTCAATGTTTCAGTTGTGCGGTATGCAATATATGTGTAGTATTCAACTGTTTCAATGTTTCAGTTGTGCGGTATGCAATATATGTGTAGTATTCAACTGCTTCAATGTTTCAGTTGTGTGGCCAGTACGAGGTAGTGGCCAACTGCTGCGGCCTGAACGCCAAGTACTTGATAGGTGACGAGTCAATTTATCCCATCAGAGGACAGCTTATCCGTGTAAGAAACCACTCGTTGGCTATCTAAGTATTATATGAATTGTCTGGTCTGCTTTACTTCAGAAATACTTCCACTTCTAGATTAACAGTATTGACTTATTGACTTCCATGTCCGCTAGATATAGCAGTACGGTGGCGTTACAACAATGGACTGTATGGAAGTTGCACTCATACGTCTGTGCCAGAACCTCCCTCTTACGGGAGATATAACCTAACTGTGGTGATATCTTCAGATGCGAGCTCCCTGGATACGTGGATTCTATTACATAGAGCATGATGGCTACAGCACATATGCAGTACCACAGTAAGTGCAGAAATACCACTGAACATACGCCTGTCATGTCTTACCCCTTGTAACAGTCCACTTTCCCTCTCTGTTTCCATGCTAGATGACCTTTCAGGAATGTACTTATTTGATTGTGTATGTGTTCCCAACCCCCTCAGTATACATCTGTGTGTGCGTGCGCACCCCGTTGTCTGCGTATTGTGCGCGGGTTCCTCCTTACGTAGGTATTGATATACGTGTGTGCGTATTCCTACACCTCCGGATGTTGATAGCCGTGTGTGCGTGTTCCTCCTTACCGAGATATTGATACACGAGTGTGCCTGTTCTTCCACCTCCAGATGTTGATATACATGTGTGCGTGTTCCTCCTTACCGAGATATTAATATACGTGTGGGTGTGTTCCTCCACCTCTAGGTATTGGTGATATACGAGTACGTGGATGTGTTCCAGCACTGACTACATGCTGCTTGGCGGGTGTCGACAGGAGGGGAATTACAGCGAGGAAATTGATCCAGCCCTGACGGAGGACATCCTTAGAAGGGGCAAGGCGAAGATACCTGGCCTTGAGGTACCAAGCTGACAGGCTGCATCACACCGTCTAACAATATCCCTTCCACCTGTCTTGTCTCCCAAACGTAAATGGATGTGGGTTCTGAACAGAAAATGCGCCTTTTTGGTGGCTAGTTAAAAAAAATATTGTCAAGCTGATAGTGAAGTGGTGGCTAGTAGAACATACCATCAAGCTGGTAGTGAAGTGGTGGCTAGTAGAACATACCATCAAGCTGGTAGTGAAGTGGTGGCTAGTAGAACATACCATCAAGCTGGTAGTGAAATGGTGGTTAGTAGAATATACCATCAAACTGGTAGTGAAGTGGTGGCTAGTAGAACATAACATCAAGCTGGTAGTGAAGTGGTGGCTAGTAGAACATACCATCAAGCTGGTAGTGAAGTAGTGGTTAGTAGAACATACCATCAAGCTGGTAGTGAAGTAGTGGTTAGTAGAACATACCATCAAGCTGGTAGTGAAGTAGTGGTTAGTAGAACATATATCTGATATTTGTGACTATTATGTCTTTGACTGAACGAAGAATGAGCTGAAAGTGGACCCTAAAAATCGCTGACATGTTAAGGCAGGTTTACAACCACGTTGATGACACGTGGTCTGAATCACCAGCTGTATCCAAGTTTTCTCAATTGTTCTTCAAGGGAGCCAAAGTAATCGACGAGTGGGCCGGTCTTCGCCCCACAAGGATTCCCATCAGGGTTGAGAAGGAGAACATGATGCTTGGCGGGAGGACGCTGAAGGTAAGAACGGGAGACAGTATTTCTCAGTAGTAAACATTGATGTACAGATCGACGCACACTGAAGCAGTTTATTGTTGTGATGGGAATGTGAGTAGATATCAACAGACCCTACAACAAACAAACTAATGTAAGCAACGTGTATCATTCATTCAATATTAACCGGCAGGTTACCCAAATAGGACTTACTCGCAAACCGACATACATGATGAGTAAGGTACACCATATTTGCAATCACCATTATATCAAGCGTGTGTATTCAGGAATAATTACTGTTATATACTTACAGGTGCGAACTCAATTTTAAAGAGTTTGAATGAAGTATAATATAATCAGGTAAATCCCACTGTACTATCTCTTATTGTGTGCAACAGGTGGTACACAACTACGGTCATGGTGCCAATGGCATCAGCTTGAGCTGGGCAACTGGCGTCGACGCCGCACAGATGGTGAAAGAGTTGGTCGACAGTTCATCTCTCTCCAAACTTTAACCAGCGTTGTGAGACCCGATCCACTTTCCGGACTAATGATATGTTGGCAGAACAAACTCCCGACATGCAATGTAACGATGCATTGTCTGATACAGCACGATTGTTCAATGTAACTATAAATCGTAAGAAACAACCCTCGACACGGATCATCATTATCAGTTTCACACCAATACTCCGGCGCTGTGTAATCGCGCGTATGCCCGACAGTATTGGTGATAGTCGCTACATGAATTCCTTTGTAACTGTTGTGCACGCTTCATTAAAGCTGGGGCAAGGATAATATAATTGGATACATATTGACATGATATTTGTATACACTGTACCTAGAAAGTTTGTACATTTTATGGATGACCCCATGTCATGATGTAATTATTATTTATAATGCGGGGTTTGGATTTCGAACTTCATATTTCCCAATTGTAATAGTTTAAAAAACACAAACCACCTGTGTATGTGTATATATGTTTTACTGGCAGTTGTTGGTGCACATTGAAACCATTATGCATTGTTAACTCATACCTTATTATCATGCCAGATATTGTTCTCGTTGGAACTGTAATAGTTTAACTCCCTACACACGAGGTGCATACAGTCACCTTATTCACATCAGCCTTGACAGCTGTATGGCGAAACTGTCTGGAAGGAAGCTTCTATTACTCTGACCCTATTGCATATATATTACGTATAATATCTTTTTCACTTTGATTATCATGATAAGTACTGGCTGTTGTAGTTTGTCTGTGGGTGGTCTCCTGCGTGATTTTGGTACCACCCTTCATATCTGGCCGATGTAATGGAAACAGTTGTATTTTCAGAAGGATATTTTCACTGGTTATTTTGATTCACTAGTAAAATGAGAAAAACTACCTTGTTTTGATGATTTTTGAAAAGAATACGCTGTACTACTGACGCTACGCCTACCTTAACGTGTACATACTGTTATTATTACGCTCCACCGACTGTACGCTACGAACTGCTGATGTTCCACCCACTTTACGCTCGTGCTACTGAAGCTCCACTACGACTGCTGATGCTCCACCCACTTTACGCTCTGAAGCTCCACCTACCGTACTGCTGATGCTCCACCCACTTTACGCTCGTGCTACTGAAGCTCCACCTACTGTAAACTCCGTACTGCTGATGCTCCACCCACTTTACGCTCGTGCTACTGAAGCTCCACCTACAGTAAAGCTCCTCCTGTGCGTGCTGATGCTCCACCGACTGTACACTCCGTACTGCTGATGCTCCACCCACTTTACGCTCGTGCTACTGAAGCTCCACCTACTGTAAACTCCGTGCTGAGATGCTCCACCCACTTTACGCTCGTGCTACTGAAGCTCCACCTACTGTAAACTCCGTGCTGAGATGCTCCACCCACTTTACGCTCGTGCTACCGAAGCTCCACCTACAGTAAACTCCGTGCTACTGATGCTCCACCGACTGTACACTCCGTGCTGCTGATGCTCCACCCACTTTACGCTCGTGCTACTGAAGCTCCACCTACTGTAAACTCCGTGCTGAGATGCTCCACACACTTTACGCTCGTGCTACTGAAGCTCCACCTACTGTAAACTCCGTGCTGAGTTGCTCCACCAACTGTACACTCCGTACTGCTGATGCTCCACCCACTTTACGCTCGTGCTACCGAAGCTCCACCTACAGTAAACTCCGTGCTGAGTTGCTCCACCGACTGTACACTCCGTACTGCTGATGCTCCACCCACTTTACGCTCGTGCTACTGAAGCTCCACCTACTGTAAACTCCGTGCTGAGATGCTCCACACACTTTACACTCCGTACTACTGATGCTCCACCCACTGTACACCCCTCCCTTTTGGGACTAAGTCCGAATCGAATCCACCTACAGTAAACTCCGTGCTGAGATGCTCCACCGACTGTACACTCCGTGCTGCTGATGCTCCACCCACTTTACGCTCGTGCTACTGAAGCTCCACCTACTGTAAACTCCGTGCTGAGATGCTCCACCCACTTTACGCTCGTGCTACTGAAGCTCCACCTACAGTAAACTCCGTGCTGAGTTGCTCCACCAACTGTACACTCCGTACTGCTGATGCTCCACCCACTTTACGCTCGTGCTACTGAAGCTCCACCTACTGTAAACTCCGTGCTGAGATGCTCCTACCACTTTACGCTCGTGCTACTGAAGCTCCACCTACTGTAAACTCCGTGCTGAGATGCTCCACCCACTTTACGCCCGTACTACTGATGCTCCACCCACTGTACACCCCTCCCTTTTGGGACTAAGTCCGAATCGTTTCCATGGAAACCGGGCAAAATAAAAATGCCAAAAATCTGCAAATAGCAAAAGGCACAACTTAAGGTTCAGTTTGATATATCTACCAATTTTTGTTGAAAAATATTTAACGGTTTTGAGTTATGCTCTGGAAACAAAATGATTACGGACGGACGGACGGACAGACGGACCAGGCGTTGACTATATCCCCCGCTTTACATGCCAGGGGGATAAAGCACATGACATAAGCTCAACGTGGCATGTCAAGGTGAGATGAAAAATAATAAAGGACAATTATTTGAGAATATATTTTAATGAAAAATAGCTGTAAAAGGATTTCAATGGAAGATGAACACATTCTGTGAGATGTCATGTATAGATTCTGGAGGGGCAACACTATGAACCTAGATGTAGATGTTGAAGCAGCTTGTCTGGCTTCTGGTTATGTAGAGATGAATAAGTTACAAAGTCAGGATGCCACTACACTGTAAACAGGGAACACAAGCACAACAGAAATGTCCATGCTCTATTGTAGTGGACAAGTAACAATGACATAATCTATATTACCACTGTCAAGGTGGCACACTATCTGGTATTTTGGTCAGGTTATGAAGTTACAGTTTATTCAAGGGTAAAGTATAAATTACACTTCATTGTTTCAGTAAAACAGGAAGCAAAAGATCCTCCCTGAACATTAACATAGCAAGAAACGTTCAACATTTAATGGTCTGAGGGGGCAGTGGGGTAGCTTAGTGGTTAAAGTGTTTGCTTGTCATGTTATGGTATGAGTATGGTTTTACCGCAGTTGCAGCAATATTCCAGCAATATCACGGCGGGGGACACCAGAAATGGGAACTGAACCCGGATCTTCAGTGTGTCAAGCGAATGCTTTTACCGCTAGGCTACCCCTCCACTCCAACAACGTTTAATAGATTATAAACTGGACTTTCATAATGAATCAGTATATCCAATGTCTCCAGTATGGGCGGCTGTTGTAACTAGCACTGTTCCCCCACAGATGGCTGTATAAGAGTCTACAACCAGAGTGCAACAAAATTAGAGCATTACCTTCTTATTTAACTCAGTGAAGCGATAATGTGGCCGGCCATTCAACTGGTAATACAGTTTATGCCATGTGCAAACAACTTGCATCATGGGTGAATCCATAACACTACAACATTCATTTAGTTGGGATATCATGGACACTAACACTACAAGACATCTCTCCTAGCTGAGCATGCAGATAGATAATCACTTAGGTATAAACACACATGTGAATCAAGAAATAAATACATCTGCTATATTCCAATACAAGTTCCATGTTGTGTTGGAATATTTCTACCAATCATTGACTTCAATGAAACAGAAGGGATCAAATAAGAAGTTTCCTCTGCATTGCCACAAGTACTGAAATACATCTTCAGCAGACAAACAGCTTCACATCAACTGTCCTCAGGTACATACGGATGAAGAAACTCATTGTGTGTTTTGTCATATTTTGCAATGTTTCATGCCATCATAAAGTAAGCAGGTTCTGTGACACACTGACAACTGGCGAAACAGACCATTCTGAAGCTGTTGCTGATTAACACCTGCCCTTCCATGTCCAAATGGAATAGACTTAACTGTATTAAGATGTGTTGATAATCAACCAACAGTCATGTACACATTTACAAAAAATCATTTCTCCGAAAAAGACAATAAATCATGTCAGAATATTTGCAGAATTGGGTGGAATTCTACCAATCACGTTTGCCCTTTTCAGCATTTATATTTGTGGACAATATGGGGACCATTCCTATCTATCTGCAAAACACTTTTGGTGAAGCAAAACACAATATTATCTCTAAAGTATACAGGCTACATACATACTGAAGCAGAAGCTATGTGCTGTATGTTCAAGGGAATGTGATGCTGTAACTTATAGCATGTATTAGACCTATACAAGGGTGTTGATTATTATACGTCCTTCCATACCAAGTCGGATGCATTATGAGGATAAATATGGCATTATTTGATGCACTTTACCACTTTTATGTAGACGAGGTAACACAATGAAGTCCTACACACAGGAGCAAGTGTATCACTTATCAACTGCTGACTCAGCCAGTCCAACAACTCTTAAATATAAAAATGTAAGTTTTACCTTTGAGGTAAAAGCTTTTTCTAAAACACAGGGTTAAGTAAAATGTAATAATAAAATGCATTAAAAATTATATCAATCTCACAATCGTTTATCAAAATTCCAAACTAAACTGTGTATCAAAACTGAGACTTGTTCCTGCTGGCAGTCGTGTCCATGCCTGCAGACCTCTGTATCCCTGCATGCTGAGGTAACAGGAACACTTCCATAGTGGAGTGGCAATGAGACAAGTCATCCATGAACATAGTGAAGTTCCCCAACAACTTGAAAACACTTCATGCAGAGTAGTTACCGTAACAGATCAGTTAAGGCATAAATTAAAACATAAATACTTAAACAATAAACAAACAGTAACTAACAACATCGTCCCATGATTCTGAACACTGGATTGTCTACTGCTAATTCTGTGTGGTGAGACCAAAAGTGAGTTACAGGGTCAGGGCTGTACCAGTTCAGTCCGGTACAGACTGCAGGGTGATGCCAGGATGAGTTACAGGGTCAGTGCTGTACCAGTTGGGCCAGTACAGATTGCAGGGTGATGCCAGGAGTGAGTTACAGGGTCAGGGCTGTACCAGTTTGACATGTACAGACTGCAGGGTGATACCAGGAGTGAGTTACAGGGTCAGGGCTGTACCAGTTTGACATGTACAGACTGCAGGGTGATACCAGGAGTGAGTTACAGGGTCAGGGCTGTACCAGTTGGGCCGGTACAGACTGCAGGATGATGCCAGGAGTGAGTTACAGGGTCAGGGCTGTACCAGTTGGGTCGGTACAGACTGCAGGATGATACCAGGAGTGAGTTACAGGGTCAGGGCTGTACCAGTTTGACATGTACAGACTGCAGGGTGATACCAGGAGTGAGTTACAGGGTCAGGGCTGTACCAGTTTGACATGGTACAGACTGCAGGGTGATGCCAGGAGTGAGTTACAGGGTCAGGGCTGTACCAGTTTGACATGTACAGACTGCAGGGTGATACCAGGAGTGAGTTACAGGGTCAGGGCTGTACCAGTTTGACATGTACAGACTGCAGGGTGATGCCAGGAGTGAGTTACAGGGTCAGGGCTGTACCAGTTTGACATGTACAGACTGCAGGGTGATGCCAGGAGTGAGTTACAGGGTCAGGGCTGTACCAGTTTGACATGTACAGACTGCAGGGTGATACCAGGAGTGAGTTACAGGGTCAGGGCTGTACTAGTTTGACATGTACAGACTGCAGGGTGATACCAGGAGTGAGTTACAGGGTCAGGGTTGTACCAGTTTGACATGTACAGACTGCAGGGTGATACCAGGAGTGAGTTACAGGGTCAGGGCTGTACCAGTTTGACATGTACAGACTGCAGGATGATGCCAGGAGTGAGTTACAGGGTCAGGGCTGTACCAGTTTGACATGTACAGACTGCAGGGTGATGCCAGGAGTGAGTTACAGGGTCAGGGCTGTACCAGTTTGGGCAGGTACAGACTGCAGGGTGATACCAGGAGTGAGTTACAGGGTCAGGGCTGTACCAGTTTGACATGTACAGACTGCAGGGTGATACCAGGAGTGAGTTACAGGGTCAGGGCTGTACCAGTTTGACATGTACAGACTGCAGGGTGATACCAGGAGTGAGTTACAGGGTCAGGGCTGTACCAGTTGGGCAGGTACAGACTGCAGGGTGATGCCAGGAGTGAGTTACAGGGTCAGGGCTGTACCAGTTGGGCCGGTACAGACTGCAGGATGATACCAGGAGTGAGTTACAGGGTCAGGGCTGTACCCAGTACAGACTGCAGGGTGATACCAGGAGTGAGTTACAGGGTCAGGGCTGTACCAGGACATGTACAGACTGCAGGGTGATACCAGGAGTGAGTTACAGGGTCAGGGCTGTACCAGTTTGACATGTACAGACTGCAGGGTGATACCAGGAGTGAGTTACAGGGTCAGGGCTGTACCAGTTTGACATGTACAGACTGCAGGGTGATACCAGGAGTGAGTTACAGGGTCAGGGCTGTACCAGTTTGGGCAGGTACAGACTGCAGGGTGATACCAGGAGTGAGTTACAGGGTCAGGGCTGTACCAGTTTGACATGTACAGACTGCAGGGTGATACCAGGAGTGAGTTACAGGGTCAGGGCTGTACCAGTTTGACATGTACAGACTGCAGGGTGATACCAGGAGTGAGTTACAGGGTCAGGGCTGTACCAGTTGGGCCGGTACAGACTGCAGGGTGATGTTAGGAGTGAGTTACAGGGTCAGGGCTGTACCAGTTTGGGCCGGTACAGACTGCAGGATGATACCAGGAGTGAGTTACAGGGTCAGGGATGTACCAGTTGGGGCGGTACAGACTGCAGGGTGATGTTAGGAGTGAGTTACAGGGTCAGGGCTGTACCAGTTTGACATGTACAGACTGCAGGGTGATACCAGGAGTGAGTTACAGGGTCAGGGATGTACCAGTTGGGACGGTACAGACTGCAGGGTGATACCAGGAGTGAGTTACAGGGTCAGGGCTGTACCAGTTCATGTACAGACTGCAGGGTGATCCCAGGAGTGAGTTACAGGGTCAGGGCTGTACCAGTTTGCCGGTACAGACTGCAGGGTGATACCAGGAGTGAGTTACAGGGTCAGGGATGTACCAGTTCGGCCGGTACAGACTGCAGGGTGATACCAGGAGTGAGTTACAGGGTCAGGGATGTACCAGTTCGGGACAGGTACAGACTGCAGGGTGATGCCAGGAGTGAGTTACAGGGTCAGGGCTGTACCAGTTGGGCATGTACAGACTGCAGGGTGATGTTAGGAGTGAGTTACAGGGTCAGGGCTGTACCAGTTTGGGCCGGTACAGACTGCAGGGTGATACCAGGAGTGAGTTACAGGGTCAGGGCTGTACCAGTTGGGTCGGTACAGACTGCAGGATGATGCCAGGAGTGAGTTACAGGGTCAGGGCTCTACAAGTTTGACATGTACAGACTGCAGGGTGATACCAGGAGTGAGTTACAGGGTCAGGGATGTACCAGTTGGGCTGGTACAGATTGCAGGATGATACCAGGAGTGAGTTACAGGGTCAGGGATGTACCAGTTGGGCCGGTACAGACTGCAGGGTGATGCCAGGAGTGAGTGACAGGGTCAGGGGTGTACCAGTTGGGCTGGTACAGATTGCAGGATGATGCCAGGAGTGAGTTAAAGGGTCAGTGCTGTACCAGTTCGGGTCAGTACAGACTGCAGGGTGATGTTAGGAGTGAGTTACAGGGTCAGGGCTGTACCAGTTTGGGCCGGTACAGACTGCAGGGTGATACCAGGAGTGAGTTACAGGATCAGGGCTGTACCAGTTGGGCCGGTACAGACTGCAGGGTGATACCAGGAGTGAGTTACAGGGTCAGGGCTGTACCAGTTTGAGTACAGACTGCAGGGTGATGCCAGGAGTGAGTTACAGGGTCAGGGCTGTACCAGTTGGGCCGGTACAGACTGCAGGGTGATGCCAGGAGTGAGTTACAGGGTCAGGGCTGTACCAGTTGGGCCAGTACAGACTGCAGGGAGATGCCAGGCGTGAGTTACAGGGTCAGGGCTGTACCAGTTCGGGTCGGTAGAGACTGCAGGATGATACCAGGAGTGAGTTACAGGGTCAGTACTGTACCAGTTTGACATGTACAGACTGCAGGGTGATACCAGGAGTGAGTTACAGGGTCAGTGCTGTACCAGTTCGGGTTGGTACAGACTGCAGGGTGATGCCAGGAGTGAGTTACAGGGTCAGTGCTGTACCAGTTCGGGTTGGTACAGACTGCAGGGAGATGCCAGGAGTGAGTTACAGGGTCAGGGCTGTACCAGTTTGGGCCAGTACAGACTGCAGGATGATGCCAGGCGTGAGTTACAGGGTCAGGGCTGTACCAGTTGGGCCAGTACAGACTGCAGGGAGATGCCATGCGTGAGTTACAGGGTCAGGGCTGTACCAGTGGGGCCGGTACAGACTGCAGGGTGATGCCAGGAGTGAGTTACAGGGTCAGGGCTGTACCAGTTGGGCCAGTACAGACTGCAGGGAGATGCCAGGCGTGAGTTACAGGGTCAGGGCTGTACCAGTTTGACATGTACAGACTGCAGGGTGATACCAGGAGTGAGTTACAGGGTCAGGGATGTACCAGTTGGGCCAGTACAGACTGTAGAGAGATGCCAGGCGTGAGTTACAGGGTCAGGGCTGTACCAGTTTGACATGTACAGACTGCAGGGTGATACCAGGAGTGAGTTACAGGATCAGGGCTGTACCTGTTTGGGCAGGTACAAACTGCATGAATTATGCTCCCATATCTCCAGAGACTGCTTCTTCTTGTCCTTCCACTGTCTCATTTTCAGATCGAAACAGTCCACAAAGTTACTTTTGCAGCGGTAATCTCCCCCTTGCCATCCCCCAATGACATAGACTGAGCTGTCAAAAAGTGTGTATGTTGCATAGAGACGTGTTTCATTTAGAGCTGCCACTTGTAGCCAGGAGTCAGAGTCTGCATGATAACAGTCGATGGAAGAAACCATCTCTCTTTGGTGGTTTGTTTGGTCATAGGTCCAACCTCCAATCACATAAACTTCACCTCTGAAACAGACCATGGTGTGATCAACACGTGGAGACTGTAGTGAGGCGCACCTGTCCCAGGTGTTACTGTGGGTGTCATATCTCAGCAGATCACTCAGTATTTCCCCATCTGTTTCCTGCTGGCCTCCTGACACATACAAATACTGTCCTACTGCAATGCCTGCATGTTGGGTCCGGTTGCCAGGCATTGGCTCAATGTCCTGCCAGGAATTAGTTTCTGGGTCATATCGTTCACAGGGTGCTCCATCAAGAGTAAGATCAGATGCTTGTGGGTCACCCCCTATTGCATAAAGATAGCCTTCTGTCACCCCAAGATAAAATCGGCATCGTTCATGATTCATTGGAGCTATACTGTCCCACTCACTCTTGGAAGGGTCATAACGGAAGCCATAGGGATGAATAACTTCATCAAATTGATCATTAAAACATCCACCAATGACATACAGCTGGTTGTGGAGAACAGCCATGCCAAAGTTACACTGGTACGTGAGGTATTCTGGTCAAATACTTTAAAGATGCCGAGTCAGTTCCTTCTCGATAATACCAAATATTATTGGTCATTCCTGAATCAGCACTGAACCCGCCAGCCACCAATACTGTTTTATGGAAACCTCGCATATTTGTAATCCCATGAACCTGTGTGCTGATAGACTGTCTTACTGTAGAACCACCAATGTCAAGTCCATGATTCCTGGCCTCCTTCTGAAAGCTAGCTTGCATCTTTCCCAAGCAGGGGAACTGCCAGAATCACCTCCTTCCCTTCCTGGTCCTCCAGCACATCCTTCAGACTCTCTTCCGGGATGTTATGGAACTGAATGTGTGCAAGGATGTTCTCAGCCATAGTCAGTCTCTCCTCTGGTCGGTACTTGACCCAACTGAGGACAGCTAGGAGGACATCAAGCTCGGAGCAGTCAACCGGGAAGCCTGAGGCCAGCACATTGACCAGTGCCTGCTGGCCCATACTGTGGAAGTAGGAGGACATTGTGAAGGTGGTCCAGTGTTTGCAGATAAACTGCTGCACGTGTTGCTGCAGGGGCTTCAGACAGTACAGGTCAGCCACACTAGCCACATCCACACAGTTGTCCAGAGACAAGTGTGACCGCAGGAAATCCTCACATGCATCAATAACTGGTAGAATCTGGACATGGGTTGCTGCACCCAGCACATCAGACACATTGTCTGAAACAAGGTGAAAAACTTGATTAATGATTGGTGTCATAACTCCACTTACATTCGGAGTAACAGTTAGTACCTGAGTGTGAAACACAGGAGACGGTAAACATACAACTATACCAAGTGGGTGAACTGCCTGAAATATTGACAACTCAAGATAAAGTCTTCCTACATGTATTCAACTGATGTGCTTGTTTTTACTATTGTTAATAATTGTTTTGTTTGTTAGATAAACAAATTTCTGGATAAGCCTGAAATATTCCACTTTTTCATTTTGCCTGTGTTCCAGCCTGGCAACCAAGACAATCTGGAAACAGCTAAAGCAGAACAGCATACTCTATATCCACTTATAACATATTTACTAATTTGATGAAAATGATTGCCAAATATCTTGAAAGTACCCACCACTATCAATGTTACTCTTTGATGTGTAAGCGAAGTCCAGGAGATTCTTCATTCCACGAGCAGTTACCCCATTTAACACAACCTGCTGCTGTCTGCATTCCTTCAGGCCATCGGTGAACATGGCTCTGAAAACCAGAACAGATTTTAAGTGTAATCATAAATATAAAAGATATTGATCAAATGAACAAACAGTGTCAGTTTGACAAATTTAGACATAAGGTGTTAAATTTACCCCAAAATGAATGAGACAAAATTAACCATCTTTGAGAACTGTTATCAGTTTCCATGCTTGATCTGTTTACTTAAGATCAGTGATTTTCAGGTTTCTTCAATTTCTTGGTTTAAAGATATTTTAAAAATATATATATAATATCCACTATTCAATAACATTTAAGACTTCTTTGTCTCTCCTTATCATATTTATTCCAAGGATATTCATGATGTGAATCTGAAATCTTATCTGCATTTGAACAAAATATTTATTTATTTATTTAAGTGACAATGAAAGTTTTTAAAGCCTGACTGTACATGTCCAAGCACGAGAGAATACAGGAACCTCTACAGAATGATCACAGCAAATTGGATCAAGACATGGGTAGTCATCATGAAAAACAACAGGAGGATTCATGCAAGTCCCTTAACACAGTAGAAAAGGTACCTAAAGTAGTCACTGCATGAGGCCAGCACCACCCTGTGTGCAGGTAACTCTAGTTTGTCCACAACTAGAGTCACATCAAACAGTTGGTGCTTGTCTCGCAGGTGCCTCAGCCCTGCAAGCAGAACATCCCCATGATTTGTGGCCTCAAACTGGAACTGGTCCTGGTCCATGACGTCCATGGTCTTGTCAGCCCTGTTCCGGAAGAAAAAACACATGCTCAGATTTGCTTGACACTAACACCACTCATTAGAGTATACTGTAGATTTGGGAGAGACACTGTTTTAGCCATTTCGTCAACACATGCACATTTTTTGTCAATTAAAAATAAAATAATTTGATAACTTTCAAGCATAAACAAATTAAACTAGATCTATGTCTTAGTGTTCTTGTCCATTAGGTTGCCAGCAGTGTGGTGTTATGTGACATGTGGTGTTGTACAGTACTTGCTACAGTGTACATTCGGCAACACACATGCAGTGGTACAGTCTCTGACCACACTTCGCCTGCAGTGGTACAGTCTCTGACCACACTTCGCCTAGAGGACCGTCCTTGGTTGTAACACTAAACTGGACAAAGAAGCCTCTGAAATAAGCTACCGGTAGTATTTGAACAACATACTAGTACCCCAAGAAGCACCAACGCGTACTCTCCAGATTCCATGTGACACAGCTTATGACGTTCACTAATTATGTCCGTAAAGGGGCAAATACCGATGTCCATGCTCAATGTTTTACTTCCCATATGTAAAAGAGAATCTTACCTGTTTAAAAAGGAAGTATATAATCTCATGGACAACATTTTCAAACTCCATATCTATCACCATGGCCACAAGTTGTGAACACTCTTTCTGGCTGTATATAGCCCACTACAAACAATGTGTACAGAAGTTATTAAAGCTATTCCATGGATACACAATAACAGTGTTAAACATCACTTCGGCGTGGTGCAGGATATGAACATGACAACACCTCACCCATCAATCAAATATTGGTATAGTACGAGTAATGTAATTTTTACCTCTGTTATTTTCATATGCTCGATAAATCCCGTGGATCAATCACTTCCGTGTATCACAACAGATATTGAAAATGACAGGTGTCATTGTCCGCTGGCGGCATATCTCCTCCTGCAGCTCGCGTCTCTTCAGCTGTACGTACATCAATCAGTACTAACGAGCTGACCGATCAAACGGAGGAGAATCGGAAGATGTCAATCACTATTGTTTATCAGCGGAGTTCATCACTTTAAACAAACAACACTGTCTTTGTTTTCGTGGCCTTTCGATCAATTTCAGCCGTGACTTGTGTTACTAAATATAAAACTTCCGCTTTTGTGGGTACCCGAAACAGCTGATAAACTACACACCGGTATGAGTTACCTCCCTTAGTCATAAAGTGGCGGTTATCTTGGCTTCAAGAAGAATAGTGTATTCTGTAGGCTTCATACCCGATTGATTCCCACGCAACCCGAACAAAGGCTTTGTGTGAGATAGAATGATTTAGCATTTTATCCATTTGGACTTCTCAAAACGATTGGAAAATGTACACAATAAATCACAGCGAAAAGCAGTTAGTTAGTAAACACCCGCTGTCATACGGGTGAATGTTATGTTCAGCTATTATACGAACATCAGTGAGTTATGAACTTGTTTTGTGGAGACACACTCAAACAGAACATAATCAGTTTTCGTTTTCCTTCGTGTTTCATTCTAAATGTTCACGCAGTATATGATGACGCAGGTTGTATAAGATCAGGGTCGGACTGAAACATACAATAACATGATGAAGAAGCCTGAAGCTTTATGCAAATGAGATGTGATCTCCGGACGCAGGTTCATTGTTCGGTCAACACAACCATTACCATGCATGGTCGACTTATAAAACCACCGATACGGGACAAATATCGGGATGGTGGGCGACAGAGGGTCTCTTATATACATAAATCAGTGTGATAATGGTGTTATGTAAAATGAAACAAAAAAGAATAGGAGTGTAATTAATATAATGACAATGTATTCAGTTAGTCAATAAATTAACAGGAACACAGACCCACATACTAATAATTTACAAGAATGTTAGAGACAAAGTTTAAACACTGTTTGAAAAACATTTACTTTTAGGCATAGTGATTTGATTTGTTCTGTGTTGTATTATATCTGTAAACTGTGTATACATTTGGTTTTAATCAATTCATTACAGTAGGGCTACCCCCTCTCTTTTATCTACGCCTGTGATGTATACACTAATATCGCAATTAATAGTGACAGAGTGCTACTTAATACTAATTTGCGCCGTACGTGTACTTTCAGCGGTTGGACTTGTGTCTGTTCTTGAGAAATTCGAGAAAGAGGTGTATATTGTTTTTATAGGGTCCTAGACAAAATGGCCACACGACAAAATGTCCAAGTCAATATGGCCACCAAAAAAAGTCAAAATGGCCACAAACCCCTAGTCAAAATGGCCACAGCAAAAAGTCAAAATGGCCACACATTATTATTTTTATTCTTTAATATGCCTAACATTTGTATTATTTGATATCAAGGTGTAATAATGACAAAAGAAGTAATATCAGACAAAAACTTGATGTTTATTACACATACACAAATCATATTTTCAACAAATAACAAATATACAGTCAGCTCTCGTTAATCCGACACTTGTGGTTGCAGAGAAATATGTCGGATTAATGAAATTGTCGGATTAATGTATTTGCGTGAAAATATCAATGTTTACTAAATGTCATGATCGTCATACTGTTACATGCATATCAGAAATGGTAGATCTAATTATCTTCATCGTGTATATGTATGTTCTTTTTTCATGTACATGCACTTTTTAACTATTTACTTTTACAATACAGATAGACAGTATTAATAATACTAAATACTGCCTTTTACAAGACACCCGTACACCTCACACGCTTGACAGCCATGTTAGAGGAGAGTGATATCCAGCAAAGTTCTTTGCAGCATTATATAGTAAAGTATCATGACACTGAGTTGTGTCAATTGACATACCCAGTAAGTAAGTCAGTTACTCATTGTTATGTTATCAAAAAACTACCCGGTGATCAAAGGGTCGTCAAATAACATCTAAAAGTATATAGTAAGAAAACATTGCGAGAGTAATTAAACAGCTCAAAGTATTAGATAAGAAAGCATTTCAAGAACAATATTCATTAATATTCTTTTGTCATTTTTACACCTTGATATCAAATAAAACAAAATTTGCTATGAGTATTAAAAATTAAAACTTATCTATATGGATGTCATGTAAAAGTAAATAGTTAACAAGTAAATGTACATGAAGAAAGATAATATATATAATATATTTGTTATTTGTTGAAAATATGATTTGTGTAACTGTAACACACATCAAGTTTTCAGATAATACAAATGTCAGTCATATTATAAAATAAAAAAATAATTTGTGGCCATTTTGACTTTTTCTATGGCCATTTTTCGTGTGGCCATTTTGACTAGGGTCAGTGTGGCCATTTTGTCGTGTGGCCATTTTGACCTGTTCCCGTTTTTATATGGTTTAAACATATTTTTATTCCGTCAATGCAGAAACCTGGATAGGCGAACAAGCCTAGTGGCTTATATAAACGCCGCTCCAGTACACGGTTCCAATATAGAAGAGAAGAAGAAAATATTTTTATTTTTGTGTCACATGTTATATATAAAACATACATAAACTTAAAAACATTCAATAAAATATAACATCCGGCCATATGGCCTATGAGACACAAGGCACTATATTATATCTAAAACAGATAGTAGTAAATAAAATATCACAGCTTTGTAAGCAACAATGGAATGTGGTATATATATTTAAGTACATGACTACAAACTACGTTTACAAATGGTTACCGAGAAGAAAGTATTATAATTTGTGTTTAACATGTTGTACCATAAGACTCTTAATATAACATCTGGCCTGTGAGACACAAGCCACTACATTCTACTTAAAACAGAATAGAATATCACAATTCTATAAGTAACAGTGGAGTGTGGTATATTTAATTACATGACTACAAAGTGCGTTTACGTCTATTAAACATTTTATAGTAACTAATGCAGCTAAGGGTTTTATTAATTTAACATTACCTAGCATATATATGGCCTGGTCGGAAGGTGGCAAGAGAGAAAAAAAAGGGTTAATATTTAGTACATTTTCCCACAAATCGTATCGTAAATCTGAATATAGTGGACAGCTGACCAAAAAGTGAACTTCGTCCTCAATCGAATTGCCATCACAATATTTACAAATTCTATCCTCTAAAGGTGTTTTGGGGCGTGTAAACCTACCGACCTCTATTTCAAGAGGTAAGGTGCCACATCGTAACTTGCTAAGTGTACTGCCATGAGATCTAGGCAGAAGCTCAGTGACATATGGTTCAGCTGTTAATAGTTTCTTAAACTTTCTGTAAGTACGGAGTTTATTCCCGTTAGGTTTCCCTCGGTCGTTCCAAAGTTCTTTATTCCAGTCCTGACAATCTAATGATCGTATCCACAGTGAGGCATAATAAAAGTCCATTTTAGACATATTACTTAGGTCAACCACGGGAAGATCCAATTTGTTAAGAATAGTTACAACAATTTTATTCCAGGATTTTCGAAAAGTATTAGACCATCTGCATACAGCACTAGGTATTCTCGACTGCTCAGTAGAGCACAGCTTTCTCCAGAACCGCATAATTTCAATTTTCTGTTTAGAAAATGGAGTTGTCCAACCCATCTCTCCCCGGACCGCTAGATTTGGAGTCTTACTGCCAACGCCCAGGAAGAATCTACAGGCCTTGTTTTGTACTGCGTTTATACAGTTGAATTGTTTTGTACCCCATATGGCTGACCCATAGGATAGGATCGGCTGGACAAGGTTATTGTATAAAGTATTAAAGACATTATAAGCCAAACCACAACAAGATCTGAATTTACACATGATAACACCAAGTGCTCGACTAGCAGATTTAGCGATTTCTTTAGCAGTAAAGTTCGTATCAATGTTTTCCTGCAACCATACACCCAGATATTTATACGCACTGGTATAGTCAATAGTAACATCACCAATTTTGAATACAACTTGTGATCTATTGAAACAACGGGGTCGGTAATGAACGACATTAGTTTTCTTCTTATTAATAGTTAAACGCCAACGTTTACACCAATTATCAACGCAATCTAACATCCGCTGTAGGGACAACTCGTCATATAGCTGGATACATATTTGAAATAGTCCGACAAGAAAAGAATAATACTGAGACAAAATTACACTCAGAAAAATGATTGAATAATAAATATTTGGTTATGGTGTTGGTTGTGCCTAGCAACGAAAAGAGCTGCCGCAGAAAATCAATTTATATAAATCTTGTCTTGTTTTATATGAATGTCCACAAGAGAACGACAAGGTATCAGATAAGTCTACTTTGAAAAGACCTGCATTTAGGTAACTGCATTACACGCTATTGTGACTCAACAGAAGAAAGTGTACTTCCGTGTTCAAGAGAGAAGAAGTGCGTACGAAAAAGATTACTTCTTCGACTGTGCACTTAAGACCATTGTTAAGAAATAAAAGTTACTTCGGGCGGAAGAAATGTAATAGTTCTTCTGTTTTCTTGGGTCAACTAATTCAATAGGTTGATTGCAGAAGTATAGTATAGTATTACCGTTCTTACTTGGGTATATTTACATTAGTAATGCATGTCTTTGGGAGATATTTGATTCTAATTGCATCAAAAATATAAACTGTGATATTCTAAGTCTATACCTCGATCACGTAAACATCAGTTCCTAATGCATATATCATTTGTTTTTTTTACTCTTACCTTTATTATTTCTCAACCCTAACAATACATTTACTGAGAAGCTCGATTTGTGTACCTAACATTATGTAAATACAGTAACATGGAGCGTCTTCATGCAGTGACAGTATTTACATCAGTATTCAACACTACACATTAGATATAGGCTAGATTCACTATAAACTGTGGCATGAGGTGTTACTGGTCCGTTTTGTAAAATGTTACAACATACACATTCTAAAATCTCTTTTCTGTACGTTTGTAGAAGTGGTAGGTTGTTGAGACATTCACTTTTATACCTACATAAAAATATATACAAAGAAAGGAATCTCCTCATGCCGCGCGGTGATTCATCCCGCCCTATGGCTACCAGCATTAATCTACTGGAAGCACCAGGACCGATCATGCCCGCGGCAACACAAGCCATGCAGAAAGGGTTATTGTGCAGAGGCCTGAGATATGAATACAGGTGTGAATATAGCTACTTGCAAACAGAGCAACGTGTTCTGCTCTATATCAGAGGAACAGTAGGGAACACACAG